TTTACTTGGAAGTCATGTTCCTACTCAAGCTGCTTAGCAAGTGGTTGAATGCTCATGTAATGACAAATGTGGATGCGGCTAATATAAAATATAAATGTGTCTAGGATCATGTGTTTCTCTCTAGTCCAATGCCCACTACCATCTTCCTTGGGGAAAAATAGTTGTCTGGGGAGCTGGCCCCTGTTGCTACTCCAATGTCGTTAGTTCCTATTTTCCTCCATCCAAGCTCTTCCTCCAAATTTCTTTGTTCTTTCAAACCATCCTCTTTGTTTTTTCTTATGAGCCATCTGATCAAGAATGTTACTTAAAATGGTTTTTTCTTTACATAAGTCCGTAGGGCTATGCTGAATTTTAGCATAATTTTGGTTAATTACAAAACCAGCAGAAGTATACCTTAATTCTAGAATGTGTAAAAAGCCTATGTATCTACATTGCACACCCATGCAAGATACCACTTCTATTTAACATTCCACTGGAGGTTTAGTCAATGTAATAAAATTTTTAAAAAGGGAATAAAAATGTGTAAATACTGAAAAAAAAGAAAGAAAGAAAGAAAGAAAGAAAAAGAGAAAGACAAAGAGAAAGAGAAAGAAAGAAAGAAACAAAGCTGTATATTATAAGCCAATGACACGGTGTACATAGAAAATCCTTAAATAAAATAATCTACAGGTAAATTATTAAAATTAATTAATAAGTTTAGCAAGGTTATTGGATTGAAGATCAATGCACAAAAATTGTATTTCTATATACATTAATTTCTTTTAATAATGTTTTATGAATTTTCTGTTAGAAGTCTTCCAATTATTTATTAGATTTATTCCTACGTATTTGACGTTTCATGATTCTTTTATAAATTATACCTTCTTAAAAATTTCCCAATGTGTAATTTTTATCATTGTTATACAGAGATACAATTTTGTGTGTCTCGACCTTAAATCCAACAACTTTGCTAACATTACTTTTAATTTAAATAATTGAATAGTTTCTAACAGAAAAATTCTAAAACATTATTAAGAGAAATTACAGAAAATCTAAATAAGTGGATAGCTATACCGAATGGGGAGACTTAATATTATAAATATGTCAATTCTCCCTAAACTAAGTTATAAATTCAGAACAATCTCAATAAAAATTCTAGTAGGTCTCTCTCTGTGTGTGTGTGTGTGTGTGTGTGTGTGTGTAAATTGGCAAGCTGATTCTAAAATTTCTACAGAAATGCAAGGGCAAAGAATAACCACAACATTTAAGAAGAACAACAAAGTAAGAGAGCTTATTCTATTTTATATCAAGGCTTATAACATTCAACAGTTATGGTATCAGTCCAAGGACAGAACCAAACGAAGAGTCCAGAAACAGACCTTGAGATGATCTGGAACAATATCCCACCTTTGCCAGCTGGCTGTGTTTGTCTAGTAGAGAGCTAGCTCTTAAGGAAAAGTGTTTGGGAAAGACTTGCATTATCACCCAAGACAGTCATCCTGTTACACTTGTCCAACTGTTCACAGTTCAAATTATGTGACTCTTGGTCAATTTAGATTATAGGCACTGGACAGACAGTATCTCTTTTATCAAAATGATAAAATCCTACTTTAATGCTCTAAGTTTGGTCTAGTAAATTCAGTCTCTTGAAAGATGCTCTTAACATTATTGTAAGAATAATTAAAAATGGGATCAGGCTGCTACCACGGAAAATGAGAAACACTCACTAATTATGTGTGTTCTTAGTTTGTGTCTTTGCTAGGTGTGTGAAAGAGGAGTTTCACTACAGTAGGTGATGGGAAACAAAATATTTTAGTTGGGTTCATTATACACCAACAAAGTCAAGATATACCAGTAAGGTAGACAAAGAAACAAAGGATGTTGAGTAGACCATTACTTGTTTCTACTTCAGGAGGCAGTAAGAAAGATCACATAGGATGGTGGCAACAGGGAAGCAGAGAAATGGACAGATTTGGGAAGCATCTGCCAAAATCTAATATAATTACCTGTATCTAAATAAGTGCAACAGTAGAGTCTTAAGCATAACGAACATAATTCCTACATTTCTCTTAACTGGAAGAAACATTTCCATCTACATTGAATAATCAGTTTGACGACAGTTATCTTTTATTTTATTCTTTTATGTTTGTTAAATAATTTAATATGTCTTTGAATATGGTGGTTTGTTCTGGGAGGAATGAAGGTAAAGTATGAGCTTATTCTTAAAACTAATTTTAATATACTACAAGAGAATAAAAGTTTCCCTCATAATCACCTTCAGTACCAAAGACCAAAATTAAAACTCTGATGAACTATCACAAGCAGATAAATATCTTCTTCTAGATAAAATTTCTTAATTGCAACGGAGGAAACTTCAAGTTAAGTGATTTGCAAAAATCCCAAAGCCAGCAACCTATTGGAGCCTGGTCTAGGATGACTCCTGACTCCACTCCAGTTCACTTTCCATGGTAACACGCACTTTACTGTCCCCTGGAAAGAGGATATTTTGTTATTCAGATGTGATTCTAAAGCAGTTTTTCTCAATCAATTCCAGCACTGTGGGGAGTTCGGACTGATAATTCTTTGTTATGGGGCACATTCCTGTGCATTATGGGATATTTAGCAGCAACCCGGGCCCCTGCCCACTAGATGCCAGTAATGTTCCCCTTCTCCACCTGTTGTGACAACCCAAACTGTTTTCAGACATTGCCACATAATCCCTGAGGGACAGATGGCCCCCAGTAAGGAACAACTGCTCTGAAGTCCTCCCTATCCTTAAAATGCTTTGAACTTTGATCAAAACAGAAAGAAATCAGGAAATTCTGTACCATTTCTCATGAAAATTTTAATGTCAGTTATACTTTGCACAATTGTACTACCCTCTCATCAAAAAGTTCGGCCTCTTGTGCTTGCTTTCTAAATGTCCAGTTGCTATGACAGTCTTCTCCATCTGCTCAATCCAGTCCTTGCCATTCTTAGCTTGGCTTTGTATCAGAGGAAACTACATTTCCCAGGCTCCCTTGTTCTTGGGTTTCTAGATGAGGTCAGCCAACGGGAGGTACTGGCAAAAGAGTGGGCCAGAGGAAAGAATCCAGGGCACTTCTGCCTTTCTCTGTTGTGATGATAGCTGCTGAGTCACCTCCGTGGCTCTGACTCTTGCTAACCAGCCCTTCCTCTGCGGTCCCTGCCATGGTTCCATCTTCTGCCAGGTGGTTCTGGATCCCGGCATCTGGTAACACCATCTCTGGCCCTCCAGTTCTAAAGGTGGTAATGACTCCCCACAGTTGCTAATCTCTGGTTTACCTTGCCTTCCCATTTGGCTGCTTATTTCTTCCTTCATCTGTGTAAGCAATTGGTATGGACTGAATTTTGCACACACACACCCCCCGTCCCTCCCCCTCCACAATTCATATGTTTGAGCCCTAACCCTGAGTGTGGCTCTATTTGGAAGTAATTAAGGTTAAATTAGGTCAGAAAGGTGGAGCCCTGATCTGCTAGCATTAGTGTTTTAATGAAAGAAGACAGTGGAGAGTTCTCTCTCTCTCTAATATTCATTGTTTAAGCCACTGAGTCTGTTGTATTTTGTTACGGCGGCCCTGGCTGACTAATACAGCAATTCCCTGCATTGTATTTCCGTTGTTTGAAATAGCTAAGAGAGTTTTATGCTTTCCTGCTTACCCTGACACAGCTCTTTATATCACTGATACCATAAAAAAAAAGTTTACCATAAAATATCCTAATATGTGCCTGACACTGTGCAAAAGGCACTTCCATATTCATTTCCTTATCTATTTCTCCCAACACTGGGCAAAATGACATGACATAAGGAGCCCAGGTTTCAAGTCACTTAGACTGAATCACAACTCTTTTTTTTTTTTTAAAGATTTTATTTATTTATTTGAGAGAGAGAGAATGAGAGACAGCATGAGAGGGAGGAGGGTCAGAGGGAGAAGCAGACTCCCTGCCGAGCAGGGAGCCCGATGCGGGACTCGATCCAGGGACTCCGGGATCATGACCTGAGCTGAAGGCAGTCGCTTAACCAACTGAGCCACCCAGGCGCCCTGAATCACAACTCTTGCCGTTGCTGGCTGCACGATCTAAGAAAAGTTAGTTAAGCCCATTCATCTCTGGTTTCCTTGTCTGTAAAGTGGGCCAAACAATAGTACTAACCTACGAGGGTTGTTCTGGATTAAATGAATTACTCTATGCAAGGTGATTTGATTATTTTTAGGCACACAGCATGCTCTCAATAAATCTAAGTATTAGTTTTAGCTATAATTTACTGAGCACCTATTGTGTGGTAAGCACTGTGATAGGTACAGGGGACATAAAGACAAAATAAGAAACAATCAATGCCCTCAAAAAGTTGCAGTATACTAACAGAGACAAACACATGAACAGGTGATTAAAATAAAATATGGCAAGTACATTAATAGACATATGGGAAAGCCAAATAGAGCATGATCCATTTGGGAGGCAATTGTTTGGGAGGTTTGGAAGGCAACTGTCAAGGTTGGGATCCCAGTTCTGCTGATCACTAATGGCTTTACTCTAGGCATGTTACCTAACTTCACAGACGTCTCTATTTTCTCCCCTGCCAAATGAGGATAATAGTATCTAGTTCATAAGCATGTGGTTAAGAAGAAATATGACAATAAAAGTACAGTTTCTGCTATAGTTCTCAGGTGATGACAGGTGCTCAGAAAAGGATAGTTATCTTTATCAGCAACAGGGGAGCACAGAATTAGGTTGCCCAACCCAGCCCACTATGCACCCCCTGCCGCCCGTTTCCCACTCCTTCCCCACTCTGATCCATTTGATAATGACTGCCTTTTTTTCCCTTCCTCCTCCTCAGAAGAGGAGATTAAGTCTACCCTACTTGTCTAGTATGAGTATAGATAAGCACAACTGCTTCAGAAAATTTCTTGGACAGAACCTATTAAATCTAAATATACAAATACAAAGCTATTCTACCCCTGCATACCTATCCAGAAATCAGTACCTATAAGCACCAAAAGATATAAAAGAATGTTTACAGCAACTTTATTCATACTAGCACCAAACTGGAAGCAAACCCAACACCCATCAAGAGGACAGTGGGTAAATACATTGTAATTATATTCATATACGATGGAATATTACAGAGCAACGAGAATAAACTAGAGTTGCATACAATAATATAGACGAATCTCACAAACAAAATGTTGAGTAAAAGGAGTACCTACTTACTTTACTATTTCATTTATAGAAAGCTCAGGAATAGGCAAAATGAATCTATGGCCATAGAAATCAGAAGAGTGGTTACCTTTGGGGAGGTATTTGCCGAGAGCAGTGATATACTGGTAAATGATTACCAACAGACTCTCAAAAAAAAGAAAAAAAAATCCTGATTTTACAGCATTTTCCAATTTCCATGGTATCAATCCTCCCACCACGGTGGATTTCAAGCTACCAACGTGATGTCACTGAGCATATGTTATATATACAATCTGCCCTGGAGAGCTGGTGTGAGCCAGCTCCCGCATGTCAGAATGAAGGGGCATTCTGGTGTGCTGAAAATGTTCTATCTTTTGATCTGGAAAGTGCTTGCACGGCTGGAGTCTTAAGATTTGTTCACTTTATTGTGTGTATATTATACCTAAATAAAAAGTAAAATGTAAAAATGCCTGTAAGAACTAGAAAGATAAAAGCACTTATATCCATGTCCCAGAGAAAGATCCAAAGAGGTACCAGAGATTCAAAGACTAAAAGACAGCACTCAGATCTTCTTGCCCCACCCCTGCCTCAATAGCTAGGAGAAAAAAGAGATACCATTAGTAAACAGTAGCACAAATAGAAAAGAGATGCTGACTTTTTCAGCTGGGCCACTCTCAACTTTTTCAACTTGAGGTTCAACTTAATGTTATCACCAATGGCTGATATACCACACAAAAGAGAGTGTTGCTTCTGAAAAGCCCAGATCCACTGCTTTAACTAACTATGGCACTATCTGTCACTTAACAATGAAGATTAATCCACTGGGTGGCCCCAGATGAATGTTTTAAGCACAGTACCACCTGAACACAATGATCAGACACAGAAATACACCAGCATAAACAAGGTTACTTTTATCTTAAGTAAAAATCACATTCATATAATTTTCCTTGTGTCACTCACATCTTAAATATGTTCAGTATGTCTGGAAGATACCTGTGATATATCTAAATGAAACATTTTAATAAGACAGCTGCTCCTAATGTGTACAGCACTTGTATATTCAAAGTTACAAAGTCAAAGCAAAATGTTAAAGGGGCTTGATGGATGATAGCTCGGCACATCCACAGATTCATTTGCTCCCAATCTGGCAGTACAGGACCATAGAAAATACCAGACCAAGTACCTAGAAAATAAAGGAACAAGATTAACATGGAATTTTAAATGCTGGAGACATTATAAATAGACAGAAAGAACATTACACATGAAAAGATTCTGGCTCCTGACAGTTCTAATCTTATTTATCTAAGTCATCTCTCTGCTTGGGAAACTGGAGCCTCCAGTGGGACAAAAGAGCATTGGGAAAGCTCTCTGAGTATCTTTGTGTTTTAATCAGAGTTTTTAGCTAGCCAATCCACTTCTAACTGGCCCTGTTTGGGCAGTACTGGCTGCCCCCAGAGCACCCCATCCTTCTCGAACACACACCCTTCTGTGGGGCATCTACCCTGGAGCTCTGGAGAACTCAGGCCTCTGGGGGCTAAATATACCTACTGCTTCCATGGAAGGGTTATATGATCATCTGGTTTAGATCATGTGCATAAAATCAAGGAGTCTAGAATTTCTCCTGCCATATTTTTAGGCATTGCCAAGAGGAATGAAGAAAGTCACTTTTTTTTCTTAAAATGCTTCTAAATCTATGGGGAATAGCTTAATTCAGGAATTTCCTTTGAAGTGAAAAAGCACAGCTGAAAACCTGGGGCATAATTTCCATCTCGTTAAACGGCTCTCCCAAGAATGAGGGGCCCCAAAACGTGCCCTCCTTGACTCTGCAGTCAGTGCCTGGCCCTGCTGTGGCTTCGATGCAGAAATGATGGAAAGGACCCGTGTGTATTACAGATGGAAAGTTTCCTCCTCACCAGAGGCAGGAGGGAGTGAGGCGCCATTTATGCTGAGTCATCCTGAGTGTTCCCACTGTACTGAGGCATCCTGCTTACTAATTCTTTCCTGGAAATGCATTTCAAACTAGAACTGCTGCCCAATATTTATTCCTTCTTAAAAATAAAACAGTAGATACCAATTCTCTGCAAAAATAATAAGTTTCATCCATAATGTTCTTTTAGAATGACCTGGAAAAGCCCTGAAATTTCTTTTTTTTTCTTTTTTTCTTTTTCTTTTTTTTTTGCCTTGGTCCCAAGCCTTCAGTCTGGGAGACAAGTATCAGGAAAGAGGAAAGAAAATGGGCAATAAATAAATAAATTAATTATTAATTAAAGAAAGAAAATGGCCAAAATATTGGGATAAGGCAACTCTCTATTGTCGTTCACTGTCACATCCTTGAAATAGAAGTCCACCATTCATCAGCAGAGTAGACAGTTAATATCACACTTTCTTGCATTGGAAAAGATAATTTACCACTGTTCATAAAAACAGAAATAATTAAAAGAGATTCATCACATAGTGATGTATGCTAAGACTCGGGATAAACGTGCTAAGTAGTGTGCATGAGTTTCCGTATTCTGAGGCAGTCCAAAAAATGTTATAAAATTCTCATTTCCCTCTCTCTCTCTCTGTTCCTAGGACCTCCTGTCAAGATAATGTTTATCTTACACAGTGATGACGATCATTGTCAATGTCTTTTTTTCCCCCCGCAATTAAAATGAGGAGTGGAAGGGCTGCTCATTTTTTGTGCTGTTAAGTTGTGTAGTCAAATAAGGAGACATACGATAGTCTGGTTATTTAATGCTGAATAATGAGAATTCCAGTGCCTAGAGATAAAAGTTTCTTACAAAATAAAGCATTTTGCATAGATGCCTGACATCCTATCCGAGAAAAATCCCTCAGGGACGTGGTCTTAACAGAGCCTTGAAAATAACTATTGGCCCAGCCTGGGCCTAAGCAGATTATCATCAGAGGTCTAAATGTCAGAGGGTGATTTTTTGTGTGTGTGATATTTGTCTATGGAAATAGTTTGAATATATTTTCTGCAGGAAGATATTTGTTTCTATTTCCTTCTCAAAAATAGTTATTAGAGGGATTTTTCTCTCTATGTATATTTGTGTTTTCTTGAATTTGAATTTGGGAAACAGAATGGATAAAGGCCTGTTAGGCAACTAGTATTAATGCCTATAAGACAGACTAATGCACATTTTTTGGATATAGTTTTATAGAGTGGATATGTTCAAAGCTCCTTTTTGAATTAAAAGAGAGGGAATATAAAATGATTTTTTTCTCTTCAAATCCTAGAGGGAAGGCAGGTTTTAGATTGAGGGAGTGAACCACACAAAATGGCAAACAGTTCTTTGAACCAACTCTTTGCTATATACTACTGTATAAATTCCATACCTATAAATTACTCAATGGAAGTTTTCTACTAAGGTCTTTTCCTATACATGTCTTTAGAACAACCGGTAAAATATCTAAATATGTATCAAACACATGGAATATACCAATTTCACAAAATACTGAAATGCTATTCCTCTTGTAATCTTATTTTCCATTAGATGTACTTAGATTCTTGGCAATGCCTTTGGCTATGATATGAGAGACATTGATCTTCCCAGTTGATTATGTCCTTATTTTCTCCAGATTTGCTTCCAAGAAGTTTCTTAAAAGCATCAGTGGTTTATAGCCAGTCATAGTCAATTGTCTGAATTCAAGTCTAACATGGATTTGACACTTCTATTGACACTTACACTGAACACCTCATTCAAAGCCTGATCTTTCAGTCACTTAAAGTATACTCCACCAACATATACGTACATGTGTTTTATGCTTATAAATGTATGAGTACATCTGTGTGTGATTCCTTACTCATCTCTACAACCATTAGCTCATTATTTCTAAACTTGCATGAACCCAAAATACAAGGCAAAGCAGCAAAGGACATTTTACAAAAGGCAGAATCAAAAGAGAAACAGACCTTGTGCATAGCGCCATTTGACGTCCATCATATATCAGACAAAAAGAAAGTTAGTCATATCTACTGACACAGAATGTGTCATACTTAGACCTATTAATTTGGACTGCAAGGAAGTCATACTCAACAGCCCAACTTGCTGTTCAAACTCTACTAGTAACCTAAAAGACCACTTAGAACACTAAATTGCTTCAATCCCAGCTAAAATTCCTCTCTGTTCGGTAAAGTAGCACAAGTAAGAGGTAGAAAGCTACCAGAAATCCCAGGGAGGACACTGTATAGCAATCTACGAGAGTGAAGCAGAAGTTAACTCATCTGACCTAACCTGCCCTCAGGGGTAAAAAACAGGAAAGCACCTTACATGTCATTAGGATTCTTGCCAATGTCCTGACAGGGGATCAAGAGTGAATTGACTCACTTGATATCTAAATTAGCCAAGATCTGGAATGATTCCAAAAATGCTTCTCTGAAATAGTTTTATTTCATCTTTTTAGCAAAGAATTTTAGGCCATGTAGAAAGCATCTTCAGGTTCTTAAAAAAGTCATGTCAAGAAAATCCATCAAGATAAAAATCCTATACGGGACTTTTTTTCAACACCAATAATCAAAATGATGAGAGTAAATATATAAATCTCAAATTTCCTCTAAAACTTCTTCAAGTGAGCCCATAGTCTTTAAGGCACATGTCTCTAGTTTTTAAAAATTGTTAGATTTCTCTAGACGGAACAGCGGGAAAAGAGCTCCCCACACTCTTGAGTTGAATTTTTATTTTCTGCTTCAAAATCGGGAAGAGAGATAAGAAATTGTAAAGCTCATGTTTTGGTTTTGTTTGGTACTTTTTCTTCTAACTTCAGGAAACTTTAACTCTTGGGCTAGTTTTCAACAGGAAAAGGATATCTGGGACTAAGAACTGTGGAAGTTAATTCAATTTTTGTTTCCCAGTGGAGAGATTATTCATAAATAATGGTTTCAGCCCTGCTGAATTGATAGATTATAATCCTCGCCCCAGACCGAAGACTGCTAGAGAAAGATGCTAGACCTTGGGCAGTTGGCACCCAGTGTTTTTCTCAAGCACCTTGTTTATATTTGGCTTACTATAAATATTTGTTGGAATTAATTAATGAATAAACAAGGGAATGAATGAAGAGTCAACAATGCAAGGTTATACTGTACCTCAATAACCACCAGTCCAAATGCTATTCCAATAACTATGAGAAAATGTTTTGCAACTATTTCTTTTATGAAAGAAATGCATGGCTGTTAAAAAAAAAACAAAACAGAAAAAGTTACATTTAATCAAAATTTTGACCTTATTTTAATTAAGATTTCCCCCCCACACACACTTTGGGTTGACTTTTTATATTGCTACAGAGGAACACAGTCAACAAAAAGGAATTGGCTTATTCCACTCTGCCATTCCACCATGTGACACTCCACCCTGCTCCAAAAGGTTGTTAATTGTGGCTTGTTCATATGTTAGAAAGCACCAAGAAGTAAAATTTTGCTTCAACTATCTCATTGCTAAATCTAGGGATCTTTAGGTATAAGTAATAATTTTATCCTAACTTTCAATTATTCATTTTAGAGCTATTATCACTTTGTGTATTTTTAGGCTTGTAATCTGCAGCAAAGAGTTCCCTGGTTGGGGTTTCAGCTAATTGTAGCACAAATTTTCATTTTTAAAACAAGGTTTTTAAAAAAAATCCCCTAATAATTTGTATCAGGGTTATTTTTACTTTAAAAAGAAAGAAATTATTATGTCCGCTATTTTGTCTTTACTTCAGATAAAAATGAGAATTTAGAAAGTAGCCTCTCTGCCACATTTGTTGAAATATAGTCAAACTAGCATGCAATGTCAAGCTTATAACATTTCAGGCCAGACCTAGAAATTCTAACAATTGTAAATTATATGGATAATTTTCAAAATGGAAAAATACTACACAATGTAATAGTGGTATTATCTGTATTGCCAGAAAATAGATCATCCCTGTGATAGTCTTACATGCACAGAGGGCTAACAAAATATTGCTATGGTTAATAAAATAAAAGTTCTCCATAAGGCTGAGTAAAACAGTCTTTTCCCTCTCATTCTTGAATGTAATGGGTTTCTCCATTCACATCTGATCCAAAGTGGTAAATATTAGAGTAAATTATTATGTCATTTAGGGTTAACCATGAGATTAATGATCTTATCTACTGAGTCACATTCATTATATCTGAGGAGTTTTCTCCCCCTTTCCCCTGCAGATAACCAGGTTATCTTGGCAAAAGGGTGGGGGGGGGGGGAAAGAAATGTGAATTATGGCCATTCCAGATTTCTTATTTTTCCAGACTTCTTGCAAATGACAGAAGGCAGATGGATGTCGTTTATGAATTTATGACCCTCCTTTTGGGAAACTGGTGCAGCTCTCAGCCTATCTTCTGCTGAATTATGTGTGAATTTGGAGGGAATGTCTATTACTCTTTAGGATAAAAAAATCTATCCTGCGGAAAAACATCTTCAAATTGGAATCTTTAACAGGCAACAGATAACAATCTGCAACTGAATTTACTAATGTCCTCATCACCCTAAGTGGTAACTGCATTCATTTACACCATATTTATTTCCCCTCTTTCCTCGCAGATATCACATCTCTAAACTAGGTCGGAAGGAATATAAAAAGTAAGAATGAAACTGTTTAATGATACTACTTTGACAATAAAAAACATGGTTGCTCTGTAGTCTGGTTGGGATAACTTTTCCCCGTGAATTATGTTAAGTACTAGTAACAGCAATTCCCCTTTAGAACAGAGTCTCCTGATTTTTGATGAGATTAGCAAAAGGAATGTGACAGCCAGCGGGAGAGAGATATCCCCCAAGATACTTTCTACTTCCTACTATATAATTAACCTCAATAGCCATTACTACACCAATGTCAAAATGAAAATAATCTTCAGGTATTACAGAAATTAGTTCATTGACATATAATAGCTTTTACGCATCTTTCTCTCAACTAGATTATAATCTCTTGGAGGGTCCAGAAGTATGTGTGATTTTAGCAAGGGCCTGTCTGATACATAGTGAGCACTGAAGAATAACAGCAAATAAATGAAACATTAATATCAATTATCATTTTCCTATGCATTCCTCCCAAGCAGAAGGAACAATTTATGTAAAGCCCTGTGGTAAGGGACAGATATTAAATCCGTGAACCCTGAAGACTGTGTTAGATAGGGTCCCGTAATACCTTGTCCCTATCTAAGAAATACCAATAATTCGTTGAAATGAAGTTGCCTAGTTTTCTTTCTCTCTTCATTATTTGAGCAACAGCTCCATGAGTGCAGACTTTGTGCCTGTCAGGAATGGATTTCCAGTGGCTGGTAAAAGGCCTGGCCCATAGGAGGTGGTCAGTCATATTTGATGAATTAAGCAATAACAAGAAATATAACATTCACATATTGACATCTACAAGTGACATAAATATGACATCTACAGTACATAAAAGACAAACCCAGCTTTTTCAATTGACTTTAAATGTCTGAGGCAACTTCTCAATTGGAGCAATAATTAGGCAAGTTGATTGATACACTTAACATCCAGAGCCAAATCCCTAAAGGTCAAGTCTTTATACCTACACAATTACTTGAGAAAAGGAACCTTTGATAAGAAAAAGAAATCTTTATTTTGCAAACTAAAGTGAAAATATAGATTTCTAGGATTTATGTTAAAATAGAAAAAATAGAGAAGAATAATGATTAAAGTCATTAATCATTATTAATGAGGATGAGATAACTTTCATCACTTAGCTTGTACTTTCCTTCTCCTTGCAGTGGATTTCTTTGATCTATTAATGTTGACTTTAAATGATATCAGACTCATAGAAAAAAATGAAATACTTTCACTTTTTTATATCTGCTTTTATCTTTAAATTTTTTTGGCGGGGGGAAATTCCTGGGACGCTTATATCATTATTCCCATTGTAATTGCTTGCAATTTAATTTTTTTTGTAAAGACTCATTGTGGAAAAAAATTAACAGATCTATTTACTGTGTCAAATTTGATTTGTTCTCACCTGTTGGTAAACATATTTGCCTTCATACATCACACAAGAAGACTCTGACGGACCTGGACATTCACATGACATATAATTCTTTTGAAAATTATTTCCCCAGTCAGCAGCTCCATTGACCAAACCACAGCATTTAAACTGTTTAATGAAAAGTAGATATAAAAAAACAATCACCAAAGAAGATAAAAAAAACATTGTCAATACATTGAATCCTATTTTTCTGGAACCATTATTAAGATGTTTCCTATACTAAAATGTCGTGTAAATCACCTCACCAACTTCTCTGGATGTAGAAGCAAAAATGAAGGAATCTTCCATTTTGGTCTTAATATTAATGAAGGAAAAATAGGATTGCAGATGCACAAGTCTGAGGAAGTTGGAGAAAAGATGAAAAACTCACCTAGTTTTAAATGATAAAAGAGAGGGGATGAATCAGATCTATGTATCCTAGATTTGGGGAAAGAAGCTTCCAAAGAGTTCATGAGAAAATCAAGTTCTCTTTAAAGAACTTTTGTTCAAAAGAGATGAGAGGTTTTAAAAGATGAAATTTCCATCTCATGATCTTTGATCATTTTTGGAGGAGAGGAGGAAAAGAGTGAGAGGTCTCTCAAAGGCCAAAGAAGATGCCTATTAGTGAGCCTCCCGTAAAGCTGGATTTTACATGGACATCCGCAAAATGGGGGAGGGATGCAAATGAAGGATGAAACTCTTAAAATAATGTCAAGGAAGGCCCAGAATATACTGAAATGTGGGGAAACACTTAAGGAATCTATGGTCATGTTTTGGGAAGGAAAAACAAGGAAGCAATAAACATCATGATTCAGGGTATATGGCACACCATATGATTAGATGAAAGAAAGAAGTAACTGTCCCTCATCTTGTTCTATTTAATCTATTAGAAAGACAACTCTTCATGAAGAAAAGGTAGAAAAAAATTGCTGGAGAAAATAGAACCAAGACTACATGGTTTTCTAGGCTCAGATGCATTATAATGCCAGGATATTGAGAAAACTTCCACTTACTGGCTGGGTGACCACATTACCCCCATTACTTAACCTCTCTGTGCCACAGTTTCTTCATCTGTAAAATGCAGATAATAGTAGTTGCTCACAGTATATGTAAGTCGTAGATTTGTTGTAAAGAAAAAAAAATGGGAAAATTCTTGTGAAGATATGAAGTGGCTTAGCCCAGTGCCTGGCTTGTAGAAAGTCCTCAGTATGTGTTAGCTATTGTCGTTGTTATTTTGTGGTGGTTGTTGCCATTTCCATTATGCTCTGTTCAGCACTGATATGAATAATTCAGATAAATATTTGGAAAGTACCTTTTCAACTCTGTAGTTGATACAGAGCTGGCAGTGATGATTAACGCTTTGGGGAATGGAATCAAGTTCCAAAGTTAGTTCAAACAATGGACTCAAACCAACAAGTTCAGTGGAAGCAGATATAAAGTCTTGCACTTCGGCTCAAAGCCTTAATTATACAAATACATGACTCAGCAGACATTCATATGACAAAGAGTGAAAGATTTCATTTGGCCCCAGAGTCAATCAATATGAGCAAAGAGGGCAATCTTGAAATAACTTCCTTTCCTGTTTCCATGGTAGACATGATTAATTGCTCATGCTTTCTGACTAAATAATCTTGAATAATATTAATTGATATAGACAGCCAGATTTTTTTTAAAGTCCCATTATATGCACTCACAGATCAGTCCATATCTGACACCCAATATACCTCAGGATTCCTTAGGGAGGCCTAGAAACAGAAGACATGGTAGGAGGTAGAAAGGCTAAACTTGGTATGATATCTGGTCACCGGATCAGATGTGAGAGAAGTCGAGGAAGAAGTTGGTCAGGATTTGTTGAAAGTGTTATCACAGCTGGATGAACAAGGCACTGTGCAATGAATAATACAACAACCTCTAGACAAAGAGTCATCACCAAGAATCCAAGAGGAGCACATTCCATTAGTATGTTAGCAGAGAATTCATGGGAGGAATTCTCTGAAATCCAAAGAGAAAACCACTTTGTATCTACAACTTCTATCCATGTGTGGTGGGGCCCCAAGTCATCCAGCCAGAGTTTGGTGTAGGATTCTTTTTCCAAAAAAAAGCATTACTAAAAAGGAAAAGCCCTGGTGGAGAGAGGAAGAAGGGAGGGACGGAGGGAGGGGGATGCACAAAGCGGATCATCAGGAGCGGATGTAATCCGGGATGCTTTCTCACTGCACATGGTTCAGCTCTGTAGAAATGAGCCCAGCGCCCTACCCACCTGTCACTCCCACTCTGACCCCATGCATTGGAAGAAAGAAAGGAAGAGAAGAAGAGAGAAAGAGAGAGAGGGAGAGAGGGAGAAAGCAAGGGAGGGAGAGAGGGAGGGAGGGAGGGAAGGAAGGAAAGCAGGAAGGAAGGAAGGAAGGAAGGAAGGAAGGAAGGAAGGAAGGAACTCAAAATGGACATTAAAAAAGAACTGTAGTTCTATGAACATAGGAAGCTTCAGGCATAGAATTAGTGTACAAGAATGGAAGTAATTCAGAACTGTGCTACAATAAACAACATTTAGAACTCCGTGGTTGGTACTGAGACCTTGGATATCAGGGACAATGTGCAGCAAGTGTGATTCAGGACTCAGTCCAGAGATCCAGTGGTCACCTATAGTACATTTTGTCTTAGGTCAACCACCAGGGAGGATCAAGGATGCTCAGTCCCACCCAGGGGAAGAATTGAGTTGCTTAAATTCTTCCTGCTTTAAACCTCGATTGATCTGGGCTCCAGAGTAGGATGCTAGAGGGGAGAGGATCAAGAAATGCTGCTATTGGGGAAGCTGGGAAAAGCACACCACAGAGGAAGTGAAACAGAGACTGACTCCTATCAGGTTTCAGCTCTTGGAAATGATGCTTTAAGCAGAATTTTTACAAGCTGGAGTCTATTCAAACAGGAACTAGGAATGCTCTGGAAAAAAAAAAAAGTCATCTGATAAATAGTTCAAGAAACTAAGGATGTTTCAACTTACAAAGCAAAGCTTTTAGAAGTCATACGATAGCCACTGTCAAAGTAAAAGTGGCAATGTGCTGAAGCATCAGTAGATTTTCTTTTTCCTCTGAAAGTCCAGAAGGAAGAACTAGGACTAAATGATGTAAATCCTAGGGAGTCAGGTTTTGTTTCAAATTAAGAAAGAACATACTAATCATCAGACTTAGATATAAATGGGATAGGATGGGCAAAAATTGATGAACTTTCAATTCCTCAATGTTTAGAGAGTGGATGAACATAAATATAAAATACTTCAATCAGTGAGAAGTCAAGTTAAAGGCCCTACAAAGTCCAACTGTCCTCTAAGATTCTGAGAATTTCCCTAACTTGTGAACTGAATGCTACATGTAGTTCATACGATGGGAATTCTGAATAAAGAAGGAGTGATTAGGAGTTTCACAGAGTAAGTAATATTGTAGTCAAGTCTTGAGGTACATGTAGTATTTGGGAAGAAAGAGAAAAGTATTAGTATTTTCCACAATAGAGAATGATGCCAAGATAGGAAGACAGAACTGTTTAAGGGATCTTGAGTAGAGGAACCTGACTGGACTAGAGTGGTGGGTTTTTGTTTTGTTTTGTTTTGTTTTTGTTTTTGTTTGTTTTATTTTTATGGAGTAGTGTTTACTAATATTAAAATACTAGGTAAGAGCCAGAGAGTATAATACCTTCAACGCCTGCCCAAGTTTTGACTTTACCCTAAAGACAGAGAAGCAACTTCAATAAGTAAATTAGGGAGGGGCTGGTATACCAATTATAAAAAAAATAACTAGTCAGACAACTGGTTTCAAATTCCAATCTCATTACTCATTAGCTGTCAGAGCCCTCCAAGACCTAACCTCCTTATCTATAAAAGAGGGATAGTAAAGATAATACGATCCATCTCAAAGAGTTGTCATAAAAATTAAATGAGCTACTGAATGTAAGGCCCAGTACATAGTAAGTAGCAATAAATGATACCTGTAGTTATTTTTATGACAGAGGGGGGCAGACACGGAGGCAGAGAGAAAGAGAGAGACTTTCCAAATGCCCCAAACACACTACCCCGCTAAATGGTAAATATGAAACAACTACTGATTTGGTCCAATTGAGGCTTAATTGGTCATAAACATATCTTCTTAATCTCTGTCCTTCTAAACTGCTTCAGAACTTTATAAGAAGCTGGAAACAAAGTTAGAAATATTCTTGGATTTCTTTTATTGCACAGTGACAGAATAGTCAGTCAAAATCTGCAAAATGGAGACATGTTTTTATGTTAAGGAATACGCCTGTTAAAAATTAAGTAAACATAAAACCGACGCCCAATTACCCAGATGGCCTATAAGTTCCAATTACCTTTTCTTGAAATTTCATCAGGGCTTTCTGGAATACTTGCGCCTCCTCATCTGTTCCACTTAAGAGCTTTATATTTTCATAGAGAGTCTCATTCAGGACACGCTCAGACTGAAAGTTGAAAAGCATTGTTAAATTATTCGTGCCAGAAGGTAGTATTTTGATTTTTCAGACTTTTCCAAAATTATCAAATATCATGTGTACATACGTCAGATTTGAAAGTAGCTCCTAAGATACCTGCTGCCACCTGCAGGAGCAGGATCAAAAGCAAGCCTATGAAAAACTGAAAGAAAAAAAAAGAAATGGAATACATATTATCCCCAGGGCATTCAGTCACATCTTGGGACATTTGGGCTTAGCGCTTTTTTCTGCAGTCGGGATTGTATTACAGTTGGAATAATAACCGCGTTCTTCATTTATTCTACCCTTTGCCTCAAAAAGCCAATTTGGGGGCCATTAGTAGTCAAAAACATTTGCTTCAAACACTGACCAAGCCAAGTGGTTAGAACAAAAATTTATTGATAGGATTGTAGGCATCAATGTGATGTGGAATGGAGGGAAGTTTGAACATTTAGATGCAATTATCTGAATATTATCTTTCCACTTCTTTCTCTTCATCAAACACAAACTCGCACAAACTTTAAAACAAACTTCAGAGTGAGTTCAAAACAAGTTTTCTACGGCTAGCAGAATCACCTGGGATCCCGTTATAAGTGTACACTCCTGAAACCTGTCTCAGATCTACCAAATTATAACTTTTAAAAAATTTTTTGATTGTTATGTTAATCCCCATACATTACATCATTAGTTCTAGATGAAGTGTTCCATGATTCATTGTTTGTGCATAACACCCAGTGCTCCATGCAGAACGTGCCCTCCTCAATACCCACCACCAGGCCAACCCATCCTCCCACCCTACCAAATTATAACTTTAAAGAATGCAGCCCATAAATTGGTTTTTCTCTCTTTAAAACAAGCTCCTCGAGTAATTAAATCTCCCAAATTAGAAATGAGGCCTTATAGACCAAAAGGCAACCACTAGGGATACTATTAAAATCCTGTTAAGCTCTGTCTTTACCTTCCCTCATAATAAACAAACTGTTACAAAATATCTTTCAGGGACAGACACAATAATACTTATTTTATGAGAGAAACAAGCTTAAATGAGCCCTGTAAATGCTAATGTTAGATTTTAGCTAATAAATATGTCATGATCTTTTTCTAATATTTTTTTCTACATCCATTTATTATTTTCTACTGCACATGTTAAAAGTAAATGTTTGTGGGTTATCCCAATCCAATCCATCTTCCTTGAAGCTTTCTAAGCGACAAATCTGATTACCTCCCTCTTACAATTTTGTTAACGTGGAATATGATTTGGCGCCATCCATACTCAGACCCATCTCCCATCATTTACTAAAAACAGCCTCTGTCACACTCCAGCCATACCCAAGGCCTTGTCATACCCTAAACGTGCCAGCATCATACGGCCAGCCTCGCTCGCTGGAAAGCCCATCACCCCCTCACCCACACAAACACCTTTCTCATTTCTGCTTCCAGCTTGAAAGTTCTCTCCTCTCCCCTTGTCCTCCTCTTCTTGGGCCATTCACACTGTAGCTAATAGTTGGCTTGTCAGTCTTCCCTAATGGGTTCTAATTGTCTTAATGTCTATGTATCTTTTTAGCACAGTATCTGATATACAGCAGGTACTCAGTAAGAAGGAAGGAAGGAAGGAAGGAAG